TGGGCGTCAGAAAACAATATGAAGTTCAGTGAAAACAAATTTCAATTACTCTGCTATGGAAATCTCTAGGAAATAAAAACTGCATCGGAGTATAAAACAAATTCCAGTTACACAATAGAGCGAAAACCTAATGTGAAGGACACAGAAGTGGTAGTGCCAGAGAATCTCACTTTCAAAGAACACAACAGTGTATCTACCACATTTGTTAGGAAAATGATAAGATAGATAATGAGAACATTCAAAACCAGGGATGTGAAGCAAATGATGATTCTCTTCAAATCTCTTGTTCTTTCTAGGCTGGAATATTGTACACTAACGGTCCCTTTCAAGATAGACGAAATTGAAGACCTGGAGAATATACAAAGAACTTGTACTGCACGTATGTGTACCATAAAGCACTTAAATTACTGGGAGCGGGTGAAGGCACTCGCCCTGTACTCCTGGGAACGCAGGCGAGAAAGATACATGATAATCCATCAGGGACAAGTCCCATATCTACACACACAAAAAAATCACTCCTTACGAAAGTAAAAGGACTCAGCAGGCAGTGCAACATCCTCCCCATGAAAAGCAGGGGCGCCATGAGTGCGCTAAGAGACAACACAGTGTCAGGGGCCCAAGACTGTTCGACTGTCTCCCAGCATACATAAGGGGGATTACCAATAGACCCCTGGCTGTTTTCAAGAGGGGACTGGACAGATACCTAAAATCAATACCTGACCAGTTGGGCTGTGGTTCGTACGTCGGTCTGCATGCAACCAGCAGTAACAACTTGGTTGATCAGGCCCTAATCCACTGCGAGGCCTGGTCATGGTCCGGGCCGAGGGGGCGTTGACCCACGGAATGCCCTCCAGGTATACCATTCATTCACAACTGGGAGCACTTCCTTGGCAAGAAGGATATATTTGCCATGGATAGGACGCATTTAGTTAGGTGTGTAGAGGGGGCTAGCTGTGTACAACTATGGTTCTAAATCCCTCAATGGGTTTACAGCTGTTTTATAGAAAAAATCATTCAAGGACATTTACTAGAGTTGGTCAGTATTTTCACAACGGAGCTGTATGCAGTTTTCACCGCTATTTTACGCATTATGACTATGCTTTATTCAAATTTTTATTTCTTTGCATAGTTAACAATATGTGACTGACATGTTATAAGGAGTTTATTTCCATGCATAGTTTACAATGTGTAATAATAACAATATTGATTTTCTAAGTACAAAGAAAGTCACTTTCATGCCGAGACATTTTCTAAGTACAAGGAAAGTCACTATCATGCCGAGACATTTTCTAAGTACAAAGAAAGTCACTATCATGCCGAGACATTTTCTAAGTACAAAGAAAGTCACTATCATGCCGAGACATTTTCTAAGTACAAAGAAAGTCACTATCATGCCGAGACATTTCACCCAGACTAAACATAGTGCTTTACACACTACTTAATACTACACATATATATTATAGTTCAAATTGAACATTGATTTTTATATATCAACAGAGGTAGTAGTGGTTTAGCAGTAATTAAATTAATAAGTAGTTGAATAACAAGTTAGAGTTATATTTTAGCACATTAAACATAATGAGACCATTTTAGTTTTGAAATAATCTTATAAAGTTTGGCCATTTTTGCGTTGATGATGGTGGCGATAATATATAGTGTTTTTGTTGTTAGTTTTGGGAGATGAGGTGATTTCTAAATAGAGCTCCCCTCAAGGAAGGTTCCTTGATGTTGGTGAGGGGCTCTTGATTTAGGAAATTGGATCTGTGCTCCAGTTCCCCGAATTAAGCCTGAATGCCTTCCACATCCCCCCCCAGGCGCTGTATAATCCTCCGGGTTTAGCGCTTCCCCTTGATTATAATAATAATCTAAATAGAGCTTTGAATTGGTGTGCAGGCAGCAGGGGCCCTTTTGTATTTTCAGGCAATGAATTCCAGATCTTAGGGCCCTTTATATGCATTGCATTTTTGTATAGGGAGAGATGGACACGAGGGATATCAAGGAGTATTTTGTGTCTTGTGTTATGTAAGTGCGTTCTATTGTAGTTCTCAAGAAGGAGTTTGAAAGGAGGGTTTATATTGGAGAATAATGTTCTGTGTATGTAGTAGGCACAATAATATAAGTGGATATTTTGTATGTTAAGCAGGTTCAAGCTCTTAAATAGCGGTGGGATGTGTTGCCTGGCCTGACTCCCAAAATATGTTACAAGCTATCCTGAAATTTGAGTCTATCCCATCCTCTGTATACAACTTCGGTTGTTACATTTCTAGTAACCTATTATACCAACTACATTTTCAATTTTACATCACACTAATCTCCACCTCAACCCCTACCCTTTCCACGTCCCTACCTTCTCCCATCCTTACTCTTCGCCCACCCCTACCCTTCCTTTTGCCCACCTCGGCCAGCAGTAATAGCCTAGTCGATCAGGCCCTGATCGATTGGGAGGCCTGGTCATGGACCGGCCGCGGGGGCGTTGATCCCCTGAATACCCTCCAGGTAGACTCCAGGCAGGTAAGGTAGACCCTTCGCCCACCACTACTCTTCGCTCACCCCTACCTTATGCACATCCCTAACTTTCACATACTTCTACCCTCGTACAGCGCTGTATAACGCCAAGGGGCTTAGCTCATAAATTATTATTATTATTATTATTATTATTATTATTATTATTATTATTATTATTATTATTATTATTATTATTATTATTATATTATTATATCCAGGTAATCCAGGAGGGGGGCTCTTGCTGCAATGTATCAGACTTTAAACTAGGAATAGCTAGAGGTATGGGTGCTTTTGGAAAAAAGAGTAGATTGCGGCACTATATTTATATATATAATTCGTAATGACACGATTGCAAACAAACCATACCACGGGCGGGATTTAAACCCGCGGTCAGAGAGTCTCAAAACTCCAGACCGTCGCGTTAGCCACTGGACCAGCTAGCTTTACTAAGATTCATCCAATTAGGTGTATTTCTATACCATAGGAAGGTTAGCATAGGCACCACTGTGACCACAAATGCAAGTTTTTACAGACGAATCTCCAGCTAGCGTGGCCGTGACGAACTCGAGCTCAAGTTAGCATAGTGGTGCCTATGCTAACCTTCTTACGGTGTAGAAATACACCTAGTTGGACGATTCTTACTGAAGCTAGCTGGCCCAGTGGCTAACGCGACGGTCTGGAGTTTTGAGACTGATCGCGGGTTCAAATCCCGCCCGTGGTATGGTTTATATATATAATATTTTGTGGTACCTTGCTACAAGCTTCCACGGAACCCTGGTGTCCTGGGAAATCAAGAAGTCACAGTCTTGCAGTTTGTCGTGTGTGTGTGTACTTACCTAGTTGTATTCACCTATTTGTGGTTTCAGGGGTTGATTCACAGCTCCTGGCCCTGCCTCTTTGCTGGTCGCTACTAGGTTCACTCTGCTACAAGAGCCTTATGCCTCTTTTTTTGAAGCTATGTATGGATCTTGCCTCAACCACTTCACTCTCCAGATTGTTTCACTTCCTGGCATCTCTAAGAATGAGGAAATGCTTCCTAACATCCCTCTGACTGGTCAATGAAATAGCAAATATCGAACCTAAGCAGAAGGAATCTTACAAAGGATCTAAAATCTGGAACACCCTACCTGAAAACTCTAGAACTGCAGACACATTCATCACTTTCAAAACTACAGTTAGAAAACATCTTATCTCCCTGATCCACCCCGACAACTAACTACATGATAACCACCTGGTGGTTCACAATTACACTCACTCACCCACTGACTATAAACCCAGAAATACTAATCTTAATCTTAAAATAATAAATCCTAACTAGTCATAAGTTTGCCTATGTTACTCAAATATAGACACCTTGTATTGTGCCAAAACAAAAGCATTCACATTGCTAAACTCAAAATTATGATGTAGTCACTTAGCCTTAATACTATAATCTGTAAGGATTTAATGTTAAAAATTAATCTAAGTCTGCTGGAAATGCCTACCCATGCTAGGTGTCCTAGTGGCCCCCTCTGTAATTAGTATTTTATAACATGTAAACCACAAAATAACCAAAACCTGTAAACCCCACATTGTAACTATTATAGAGAATAAACTTGAATTGAATTGAATTGAAAAGAATCCAGGGAAGAACAAAAAGCCATAAATTGAAAAACAAAAACAAAATATTTCTTCTCTTATGCCAATTATTATTATTATAATCAAAAAGTTCTCTTATGCCAAATCTAAGGGGAAAAACATCCAGTATTGGGCCCCTGCTTAGGCGAGATGGGACATACACAGATGACAGCCAAGAAATGAGTGAGATACTAAAGTCCCAATGCGAAAGTCCGACAGCCGGGCTGTGGTTCGTACGTAAGTTTGTGTGGGGCCAGCAGTAACAGCCTGGTTGATCAACCCTGATCCACCACGAGGCCTGGTCTCAGACCGAGCCGAGGGGGGCGTTGACCCCCGAGACCCTCTCCAGGTATACTCCAGGACTTATCTTGTGCTCTCTTGTTATTTCCCTTCACTGAAACAATTTGTGTGTGTGTACCCACCTAATTGTGTGTGTGTGTGTGTATGTACTCACCTGTTTGTGGTTGCAGGGGTCGAGTCACAGCTCCTGGCCCCGCCTCATCACTGGTCGCTACTACCACTCTCCTTGCTCCATTATCTTTATCATACTTCTTTAAAGCTATGTATGGTTCCTGCCTGGTGTGTGTGTGTGTACTCACCTATTTGTGGTTGCAGGGGTCGATTCATAGCTCCTGGCCCCGCCTCATCACTGGTCGCTACTACTTCCACTCTCCTTGCTCCATTATCTTTATCATACTTCTTTAAAGCTATGTATGGTTCCTGCCTGGTGTGTGTGTGTGTGTGTGTGTACTCACCTATTTGTGGTTGCAGGGGTCGATTCATAGCTCCTGGCCCCGCCTGTGTGTGTGTGTGTGTGAGGTTATTTAGGTTGCTGGGTGGTGGTGGTGTGAGGGGGTCTGCCTGGCTGTGGGTGTTGGCATCACTGTAGTGTCTCACTGGGCTGCCAGTGAGAACAAGTAGTCAGTGAGGGGGAGCAGGCACAACCTCTATTTTGCTGCTCTTGTTTGTTTAGTGATGTGATGATGAGCAAGTGATGTAATATATATTTAGTGATGTCATAATGACGGCTGATACTTCAGCAAGCACTATTGTCACTATGGGGAGGAAAGGTGAAAAAGAAGTGATTCATTCTGGCCATTTTATGGTGTCAGATTTTGAAGCTGATGCTCAGGATGATGAGGAGAATGTTCTTCTGGAGATCCCCGGGGATATATATACTGGTTGTAATGATCCTTCAGGACAAAATGTGCCACAGGAAGATCAGGGAGTTATTACATACGCCAAGAAGAACCAAGCAGCAATTATTGAGACCGTCAGCATTGATAGCTCACTCACCAAACTTTTCAATGCTATGTCCATAGCTTACAGGTAGGATTTTCTTTTTTAATTACACTTATTTATATGAAACCATTATGCTGAGTTATTGGGTCATTGCTTTTTCTTTTGCTGAACTCTTATAAAGGATCCAAGTGAAGATAAATTATAAAGTTTGACTTTCTTGGGCTATTCTAGGTTAAGTCTTCATAATATATCATGTATAACATGATATATTATGAAGACTCTGCTATTTTACATATCTACAATGCTTGGTTATTGCAAATATTGTAGATATGTGAAACAGCAGAGTAGAAAAACATGTAAGGTTAATCTGAATAACACTTATAGAGCAGTAAACTCGAAGATTATTTATACTATTATGTTGGCTCATTGTGTTCTTTAGCTTAATATTACACAGCAGTAATATAGACAGTTCATAGAAGTCTTATTATAATTTCATCCACTTCTTCATGGTTTTTTCCATATTTTGACTGCTTTAAGCTGCTTTCTTTTATTACCTTTCTAGTTGTCATTAAAATTTTTAAGATTCTTTTGCAGTAATTAGGTATCTTTATTACCATAGCTCTTAGCCTGAACAACAAGTGTCTTTACCAGAATACAGGCAAATATAACATTAGAGAGTTGAAGTAGTTCTGAGGTGATCAGTCCCTTAGCCTTAATAGGTAGTCGTCAGTCCCTCAAGCCCAAATTCTTTATGACAAATATAATCATAATCATGATTTTTAAAGCGGTGGACCAGTAAGCCAGCGAAAGGCCTCGGTCAGATGACCAAAAGCTCCAGCTGTGGGTCATCATATGACTTAAGACCTAGGTCATCTGGTGACCCATCCTCAAGCTTAAAGCAGAGGTATTTAGTTACTTTGTCTGACTTTCTTGGGGTTATCCTAGGTTCTCTACACATATGTTGCTATGTATTATAATTTATGTAACTGTATTTGTGTATACCTGAATGAACTTACTGAAGCATAAGCAAGGTGTAGCAGCTGGAAGTGATGTCACAAATGACTGTAGCCCCACTAGTGGAAGTAGGTCATTCTATTTAGTTGTTTAGCAATGATCTCATGGTGTTGCTATGTCAGATAAGTATATTATTGTGATATAAATGGTTTCCAAAACTGACAAGTATATCATTAATGGTATACAATAATGTCAAGTTGATGAGTAAGACACTTGTAACAATAATAAATAAATAATTTCTTTATTTCTACAAGTACATATACAAGGTATACAGGCCTAGTTGACATCAATGACACACTACTATACATAGAAAGCCGCTTGTTATGCAGAGCATTTCAGGCAAATTAGGTCAGTTTTGTCTGAGAATGTGACCTATGCCAGTTGACTAACACCCAGGTACCCATTTTTACTGATATGTGAACATAGACAGCCGGTGTAAGGAAACACGTCCAGTGTTTCCACTCTTGCTAGGAATCGAACCCGGATCCTCAGCGTGTGAAGCGAGAGCTTTTGTCACCAGGCCATGTAGTTAATTTTATTTTATACGTCAATAATATGATACTAGTCTGACATAGCGACACCACAGTATCCAGGTACAGGGACAGTCTTCAACAACTCCTTTGCTAAACAGCTGTTTAGCATGACTGACTTCCACTAGTGGACCACACTCAGCTGTGATATTACCTCCAGCTACTACATCTCACTTATGCCCCACTTTATAGTATAAGTATGGTTGCATGCCTTTTCTTTGAGGGACTAACCACCCCCATCAAGACTGAGTTACCGATCACCTGAAAATGATTTCTACTATGTTTTTAGTTTTATATTCGCCTACATTTGACTGACGAGGCCTGTTGTGCAGGGAAAAGATTTCTGCAATAAAGATATCTAAGTGTGCATATATTTTTTTTACCATCAGTTTGTTGATATTGTATACCATCAGTAATAGCTGTGATAAAAAAAAATAATTTTCACAAAAACAAATTAAAGATCAGGACTGTTTTGATCTTTTGAGTGTATTTAATGGTACATTGTGGCACAGTGATTGTGTACTTGGCTCACAACCAAGAGTATCAGGAGTCATGTCGTAGATGAGGAAAGATGTATGAGCAAGTCTCCTAAACACCTGCTTGCCCTGTTATCTAACAGTAAATAGATATATACATACTAGTTAGTGACCCGTAATTTTATTGTATCATAAAAATGGCAAATTCATTGTATATATGGCATACCTGTGACTAATTTCAAAGAGGCTTCTACCCTCACAGCCTGGCCTGAGGCCAGGCTTTCCCTGGTCAATTAGGCTGGTGTTGCTAGCTGCCTAAAGGTAAGATGCCAACAATTGATATTTGTAGCCCTCTTGGATGCTTTAAGCTTAGATTTCAGGCAGAACGTCTTTGCTTTATTTCAATGTATGTGATGAACTTCTATGGGCAACACACTATGCCCTTGTTCAGATACCTAAATCTTCCAAAATATTACACTTCCTGGAAAACCATAAAAGGACACTCACAACAACTACTTCTTCGATATTCCTTATGTTTACCTGACCCCTACAGAAACTTGAATCAAATAAAAGAACCCAAAGTGTGGAATATCTTACCAGATGTACGTAATAAGAGTTATAACGTACAGTAGACCTGTTTAATGAATTAAAACAAAAACTGAGAAAGATTCTGTGCATAATTAGTCCTTTCGTATTCTGAAACTAATCTGTTATTGTAATTTCTAAAATTACCATTCAGTCTTTTTTTAACTCATCAGATACACTATGGTCCTTAATTTAATTTGATTTAATAACCTTATAATTTATATCGTAACTATCATTTTTATCTTCTTGGCAATACCTTGTGCTATACAGTGTAATACTAATTTTAAAGAACTCCATATCTGTTTATATAAACATTTTTTAGTGTTAAGTATTACTCTAGAAAACACCTCAAATTTGCTATTTTAAACCAAACACAAGATCAGAGTTTTGCTTTTCCCATCATGCACTGCATGGGGCAGGATTTTTTTTATACTGTACCTGGTATGGGTGGAAACATTAGGACATGTTTCCTTAAAACACTTGCTGTCCATGTTCACTTAGAAGTAACCTGGGTGTTAGTCAACTGGTGTGGCTGGGACAAAATTGACCCAACTTGCCCAAAATGCTTTGCCTAAATTACTGAGAACGGTTGAAGTTCCTCGACTTGTATTCCCTGGAATGCAGGCGAGAGAGATACACGATTATACGTATACAGTTAGAAAATCCTAGAGGGATTAGTACCAAATTTGCACACGAAAATCATTCCCTATGGAAGTAAAAGACTCTGCAGGCGATTCAACATTCCCCCAATGAAAAGCAGGGGTGCCACTAGTACGATAAGAGACAATACAGTAAGTGTCAGGGGCCCAAGACTATTCAGCTGCCTCCCAGCATACATAAGGGGGATTACCAATAGACCCGTGGTTATCTTCAAGAAGGCTGTGGACAGGTACCTAAAGTCAGTACCTGATCATCCGGGCTGTGGTTCGTATATCGGTTTACATGCAGTCAACAATAATAGCCTGGTTGACCAGGCCCTGATCCACGATAAGGCCTGGTCACTCCAGGTATGCTCCAGGTATAACAAAGAACTTTCTCTAGTTATATGTCATTGATGTCAGCTAGGCCTTTATACATTGTACATGTACTTGTAGAAATAATAATAATTATTATTAATACTAGCTGCACAGGCCCATTCCCTCATGTCTAGGCCAAAATTTACTGCTTATGGAATATTTTAGGGAACTGTGTTTAAAATGTAGAGCTATATGAGCAGCTCTGTTGTCAATGATACAGCTCTATGCGGGAGACAGTGAAAGAGTTAATTATTAGTGGCTGGTTGAAGGCTGCTAACCATGGTTTTACCCAGAATTGCTTTTTAAGAGGACAAAGGATTCATCTGTGTTAAGTGGTACACAGTCCAGTATATTTACAAATGCCTATAAAAAATAGAAATTAAACAATCCTAATACATATAGCAGTACGGTGGGACCCCCATATCCACGGGGGATATGTTCCAGGGACCTGCCACAAATATTGAAACCGCAGTTAGTAGCAGACCCTCTATATAAGTCCTATACATACCTATTATAAAGTTTAGTTGATAAATTGTGCACAATAAGTGGAGAGCTATCACTTTTTCACTAATGGAAAGTATGTACATGTACTTCTTGGCTTCTCTTGGGCTTTGAAAAATTATCAGCTTCTCTACTTTTGCACTTTGGGGTCATAATTAACTGAAACCGCAGATGCTGAATCAGTGGATACAGGGGTTCTTTTGTATAGTAAAGCCTCTCCTCACTGAACGACATCGATAAATGAAATCGTTGCTAAGTGAGGAGCATACTATAATGGTAGTGGGTTTGTGTCGACCATCTTTGATATTGTTTTAATGTCACCTTTGTATCATTTATAACATTTCTGGTATATTTTTAAATGTTTATACAGTAATGTACTGTATACTGTAATAATCAGAATAGAGAAAATCAGCTGTAATATACATTGTTTAGGTATGCATACTGGTCAGAGAGCCCATCATAAGTCCAAGTAGTTGGTAAACGAGTATGTCGCTAAGTGAGGAGAGGTGGTATTACTAATTGACTCGGTTTTTAATTTGGGAATGAGAACCCTGTCATAATTCATTGTTATCCAAAGAAATGTTTCTTTTATTTTTTAAAGAAAAAGAAGGCAAAAATTCAATAATTCTTTGTACAAATTACATCTTCAGAAGAAAAAACCTTAGTAGTCAGCAGTCATAAGAGATATCCTGTATTTTAATATGTCAGATGATAAGTGGAAACCTGTCATCATAACAGAAGTGGCAGATGCATTATTATAATAAAAAAGAAGCACTAAACCCACTAGGGTCATATAGGTGCCCCATGGCCTGGTGGCTAAAGCTCTCGTTTCACAACTGCGAATGTCCAGGTTCGATTCCAGGTGAGGGTAGAAACATTGGGCATATTTCTTTACACCTGTCGTCTAAGTTCCCCATCAGTAAAATGGGTACCTGGTGTTAGTTGACTGGTGTGGGTCACATCGT